GCATTTCTTCTTAGAGGGTGCTTATTTGCAGTCTAAAACATATTTTAGAAATTTTTTCATTAAATTCATCTTTAAACTTCATTAAATAATACAATTTTGTGCAAATAATTGAGTGTTATGCTACTATTTATAAAAATAAAATCAAAAATCTATTAAAAGATAAGTTTTCTATCATTTTTTCAATTCACAAATGATTTTGCCCTCACACCATTGCCTACTAAGAAAGTTAGTAACTGGTAGTCATCGGTTAAGTCATCTGTGGAATGTGCATCAAACCATTTGTGGCTGAGTATAGTCTGAATGTTCTGCATCAATGGAAGATTCACAGGGATGTCTACTACTAAGACTGTATTTTGAAGTAGAATAAAATTGTGGTAGATTCTTACAACCTGCTAGACATGAAAAAGAGTATAAGAAGAACAAAAATTCAAGTTAATGTCAAGTAGTTGGACTTGAAATTTTCAATGTTATTTATTATACTTTAATTTAGTTGACTAGCTAAAATACATACTATTTTTATTAAGAACATTTGTTCTAATTTAATTCAGGACCAAGTATTAATATTTTGCTTTTAATTTAACCATGCACTAATGGCAGTTTTACAGTAAACACTGCAGTGTAAAGTGTTTGTTTAACACTTAAAATATTATTCAAACCTGAATCCACATATCTTGTTTAGCTTCTCCTTTATAAGCATTTGGTTTTGGCTTATAATCTTTTCCTCCATACTTTTGATCTTCAGTGATGCATTTAGTGTGTGTTTTGTAGTTGTCTCCCCTATAGAAAATAAAACAAATCCAAACATTACCATCAACATGTGCAAAAACATTATATGTAACAAAATTTGTAAAGTGATTAAACTGGTTACTGCAATTTCAAGTAATATAGCTCTCATTTGTCTGACAAGATTGAGAGTAAGGAACATTAACACTAGAGTTTTACACAAGTTCTGGAAAAATCAATCAAATGTGTTTTTTGAAACAAAATAATATAAAACTTTTTTTTTTAAACACTACAACTGCACATATAATCACACTTAATATAAAACTCCACTGGGTTATATTCCTGTCAGAAACTTAGCTTGACTAATGACATGGTGATATTACTTGAGGAAACAGATGAAATGGGAAAGAATGTGGGATTGGGGACCAAAAAAGAAGTAACTTAGTCTTGAGACAAGTGGCAAATGCATCCAGAAGTGGAGTACCCCACTGATTGCACAACACCTGAGGCCCGAGGAACCATTCCATGGAGATAACCTTTTCAGGATGAGACAATTGATCTGCATCCAGATTCAGAGCACCTGGAACATGACAAGCTAGTAGGCATATGTGATGTGAATTGGCTCAGAAGAAGAGTTCTAATGTCTGGAAACAAAGCAAATGTAAATGGGTACCCCCTTGTTGATTGATATAGGAGCCAACTGTCAAATTGGATCATGACCACTTTGTCTTGTATTAAAGGCAGGAAATGATCCAGAACCCAACAAATGGCAAGAAGCTCCAGCATATTGATGAGCATAGCTGCCTCAACCGAAGACCAACAACCTGCAGATTCCTGTGTATCCAGATACACTCTTCAACCCATCAGAGAAACATCCATAAATAGATGCAACTCTGGACAGGGAGGCAGAAGATGAAAACCTGTGGTGGCTCAGAAGAGGAGTTCTAATGTCTGGAAACAAAGCAAATGTAAATGGGTACCCCTTGTTCATTGATATAGGAGCCAACTGTCAAACTGGATCATGACCACTTTGTCTTGTATTAAAGGCAGGAAATGATCCAGAACCCGACAAATGGCAAGAAGCTCCAGCATATTGATGAGCATAGCTGCCTCAACCGAAGACCAACAACCTGCAGATTCCTGTGTATCCAGATACACTCTTCAACCCATCAGAGAAACATCCATAAATAGATGCAACTCTGGACAGGCAGGCAGAAGATGAAAACCTGTGGTGGCGGTGTCTCTGTTGAGCCACCAGGCAAAATCAACATGCAAAGAGAGAGAGGGAGAATGAGAACAGAATCCATGGGATCCAAGCATGATTCCATTGATCATGCAATCCCCACTGAAGGGTGCACAGACGAGCATGACCTAAGGGAATGAGGGCTTCTGTGAAAGCCCAAGTCCACAAAAGAGAAAGAACCTCACATGCAGTAGGAGATGGAGAAAATTGAGCCTTGAGAACTAACAGTTTCAGCATCCACAAACAAAGTGGAGAACACTGGGCCCAAGTAAGACGGGAGTTGAAAAAAAAAACACTAATGGATAAGGTATTGGCTCAGAAAAAAAAAAAGAATTTCTCCAACTTAAGAAGTCATCCACCTGAGCCACCTCTTAAGGAAGCAAGCAGGTGTGCTTGTGAGATGTCTGACAGGATGGAGCTATCAGCAGCTCATGCAATGGTGGAACAACAGAGCATGGGAATGAACAAGTCAAGCAAAGGCCCTGACTACCCACCAAAATACACAGGGTGCAGATACCAGACCAAACAGCAAAGCAAAGAATTGATAAACTCAACCCTAGTGGACAAAACAAAGGTTAAGTCTGGCTGTTGGGGAAATTGGAATGTGAAGGTATGCATCTACAATGTCCACTTTCATCATTGAAAGACCCTGAGTACATGCTCAATGCAGGTTGAGGACTCCACTGTGAAATGAGGAAAGTCGAGAAATCAGTTGAGTTAAAAAGATCTATAACATTAAGCCCGTCATCAGTCTTCTTGGGAACGATGAACAATCTGGAATAAAATCCTGAAGAAGAATGACTGACAGGTTCTACAGCACTATTGAGAAGAAGACTCTGAAGTACTTCAGAGGGATACTGGCAAGAAATAGGATTCAAAGGAGGGGGGGGGGGAGGGGTTAAGAAATTGAAGGGAAAGACTTTCTGACAACATGTGAAGCACCCAAGGATCTGAGATTAAATTGTTTCAAAGATGCACAAGCTTGGCTAACTGTGCTCCGACTTTACTAGAACCTATGGGATAATCACCAGTACTGTCAGCAGCATGGGACCTAGCAATGAGTACTCTGGTAGCTAGTTGCCAAAACCTACAAAAAGGAACAGGCAAAGGTGCAGAAGGAAAAGGATGGGAAATGGGAACAAGATCAGGTGATCACTGCAACAGGTGAGAGACCACAGACATAAGGGAAGAGTGTTGACAAACAGCTTCCACCCTAGACTCCAAAGAGTTGGGAAGATCTCCAAAACTGTCCTATGTAAAAATGGGGCCATACAAAAGTAAGTCATGAGTACGCGCACATTAGTTAAAAGTGAGTTCCTACCCTGGAGATCCCAACAACAAAGGTGCCATGTTTGATGAGAAAGGGCTGAGGAAGATAAGTACACCATTGTGGAATACATAATGGAATGAGTATCCTCCGACAACCCCTCGGGATACAAATTGATAGCTTTGGACAAAAGATGGATGGAGGAGAGGTATCTCAGGATGGTGGAGAGGGACAAAGAAAGGTGGGAACTTGGATTGGGTAAATCTCATAGAGGAATTATGGTAAGAACTCCATACCTGGATTAAAGACTAAAGTTTGAGTGTCAAGAAATGGAAAACCTGAACAATGGTATGTCAAAGCATAATTATCTGAGTATCAGGGAGATGAGGCATGCTGACCCCAGAATGTAAATGAGCCACAAACTGGTTAGCATGGACTCCAATATCTGGAGAGGGAGGGAAAACAAGGTAGTAAAATGAAGGAACAGAATATAAAAAGGAAAGAGAGGAACCATACAACACAGGAGACACAGAAAGGTTTAAGATGGTCTGGGGCATCAACAGGTGGATTATGGGATTGCATGGCAAAGGAAGGAGGTGATAAAAGGCTATCCAAATCATCATCTTCTGGTCTTGGTTAACCAGGAAAGGAAATAGCTGGTCTGGGATCAGAAGACACTACAGGCTGCACAATGGACTCCAATTCACAACATACTAAAACCCAAACCTCCTCAGCCAAAAGTGTGGAGCCTGAGAAACTGCAGGTTGAGATGCAGTAGTAGTGTTAACTACTGTAGCAGTAGCCTTGATTTGAAAATCAGAATTCACAACTCAACTAAAAGTGTATAGCAAAACTAACATTCTACAGCAACTAAAGTGTAACTGTAGAAAAAAACAAAAACACAAACCACAAAGACCTGGGAGGGAGGGAGGGTGAAAAGTCAAATTCAGATGAGTGAACTGTGCCAAACCAAGAATATTGAGTTCTACAGTATAGAGATAGCCAGATGTGCCAGGAGGGGTGTGTCATGCTCCTATTGGTGGAGAATTGTATCAAGGCTAGTAGTGAGCAAAAAAATGTTTGTGCATATAGAGCAGGGCTCAATTTTAAGGATTGGTTGGTTAATTGCTGTTTCAATGGGGCTATCTGCACCAAACAACTGGTAAAAATTTCAAAGATAAAAGATTATAAAATGTAAAAAGAAATCAAGTTAAAAGATTATAAAATGTAAAAAGAAATCAAGTTAAAAACTAAACAAAGTTTGAAAATCAGGTAAAAAAATAAAATAAAATGAAAAAGGCCTAAAACCTGCAAAAAGCTAAAAACCAGGCCAAGTTGGACAGTGTCACTGTCCAAAGTCAGGAGTAAACCTGTAGAAAGTATATATCGAAAATGGTACCGCTGCCCACGATCGTAATCATGGCATGACAGTAAAATGTGGGCTATTGTGACTTGAATGTCACAAAGGTTACACATTGGTGGATCAGTACCAGATAAAAGAAACCTTACGGAAACCAGACAGCCAAAGAAAAACAGAAGATTTGATCTGGAAAAGCTTGTTATGATGTTGCTCACCCCAAATCAAGTCCCAACTGGCAAGAAGCCCCACTCTGAATACAGGACCATAGTCCATATATGAGACAGGCATGGCTGTGATGGCACCAGAGCAGACAGACTTAGCTGCAGTGTCAGTGAGCTCATTCCAACAAATATCAACATGACCTGGTATCCAGAAAACTGGATGAAAACAGAAGATAGAGAAAAATGGGCCAGTCATTGTTAAATATGGACGGAAACAGGGTTAGAACTAATGTTAAGCAATTCTAGGGCCAGTAGAGAGCTAAGAGAGCCAGTGTAAATAGTACAATAACTGTACTGCATAGCTTCTACATGATCCAGGGCAAGAGAAATGGCATACAACTCGGCAGTGAACACCGAAACTGTAGAGTGGATCCTGTGAGCAACTACTGAGACACAATAAACCATGCCAGAGCTGACAGAGTCACCTTGATTTTGAACCATCCGTATAAGGGGAAACAGAAGAATGGTTCAAAAGATGTTCAGCAAAGAGAGGATTGGACTTGCAATTGGGAGTATCCACCTTCCTCAGATTACTGAAGGAAAGGTCACATTTGGTAGAAATTGTGGACCATCTGTTTTGAAAGAGCATAGCTCACCGAGGAAGAAGACACAATCCCAGGTGGGATGCTGTGGTAAAGATCGAAGAGTGGTAACATACTTAGAGAAAGTTGCAAAGGGCAGAAGTGAAGAGGAGGCTTGTGGGATTCAGTGTACAAACTCTAGACTGGGGAATGGCAGAAAGCCCCTGGGCAGAGCTAAAGCCCCAAATGGTAAATGGGGTCCAGCATCTTCAAGGCAGAACCATAGACCAGTTTGGATTGAATAAGGGCACGATAGATCTTGAGCATAGAACATCGATGTGCTCCTCAAGAAGTGGAAGAGAGGACATGGAGGACGTTAAGTGCCTTGTACACTTGACACATAGCTCCTTTATGTGAGGACTGAAATTAAGCTTACGGTCAA